ATTCACCCCCTTGGCGACCATGAATTATACCTCCTCACATATCGGCTCGCCCTTCGGTGTCCACGTCGCCGTCCTCGGCCCATCTTCATCCAGGTCCATTACTACCGGCCGTCCCCTAGCACAGCTACCCCATCTCTCCCATTTTCCTATGCTCGTATAACCCGTGCCGTCTTCTACATCAAGTATTTTCATTTCCTCCCGGTTCAAGGACTTCAGATTGGGCGTGTCCTTGACAGGCATTCCAGCTGTGTAGAACTGCAGCATCATGATGTGGTATGGGATGCGGGATGGTCTAACGGATCTGATCTGCTTCCAAGATAGTGTAGCAGGATGGCTTCTTCGGAACTTGTTGACGATGAGGCCAACCCGGGATTCCTTGTTGAGGGCGTTGCAACCCCAGGGAGTGTGTTTCTCTCACGGCCGCTACCCGCAATATCACCTCAAGAATTGCGTATGTAAAAGTGCGTAGCCGGCTATTTTGGCGGTGTGGATATCTAGAACAAGACCTGATGCGAACCCTTGTCAAAAGCAATCAAAGAAGGCTTGCTAATATCAAGATAGACGTGGGGGAGAGTCTCACAGGGCCTCTAGTCACGTAGAACGGGCAGATGCCAGAGCTGACCAAAAGATTTTGCGCCCAAGGTGACTTCTAACCATTCTTCGGATCCAATAGCAAATAATCTAGGCAGATAATCCCTTCAGCCTACTCTGAAGAAAACATTGATGCTACCTCTTGTTTGACACCTCTGCACGCTTCGCACGACGGAGGCAGCTTCGGTCGAAGGGGAATATCCCAAGATGGAAAGGTAAAAGCCAATGGTGGCGAACACTCAACCACGCCGGTGGACTCCAGCTTTGGTATAGGCATGCTTGGGGTCCCATTCCAAACATGAAGTGGTAAAATGTGTGACGTGCGAGCCATAGATAATATCCAGTTTTTAGCAATCTCTACGGCATTCCACATGGTACCAATGGTTCATAGTCGCGGTCACAGTTCCAACGACTGATCAATAATATGACACTACCCATCGTAGAATCGAGAATAAGCGGCTTAATATCTGACTTTCTCAGCCAAGTTCGAGAAATATCAGCCATCTGCCGAGTTAGTCAGTCTAATAAGGAGGAGTGGCGGTTAAGGCATTGATACCCGCTAGCTTTTGGGCCGTTTATGCTCCAACACCTCATCATCCGACTCGGCCTTTCTTTTCCCCTTGATAGCGGCGCGAGCCTCGTCTGTGAATACGGCTGGTTCTCCGCCCGTTGAATTATCCGCTGGTGAGACGGGGGCAGCAACTTGCTCTCCTGCGTTCACAGAAGGGTCCTCCCAGAGCGCAGCGGAGAGCGAAGTGGTTGTAGAGCCACCGACATCAGGCGTTATAGGCAGCATGTCAGTTCCACTTCCTCCACCGTTTGCATCCCAAGGATATCGAAGCCAACAGCGTCATTTCCCGCGATCAGCAGGCATGGGTCATAGGAAGAGGTCGTCATCTTCAGGCGCGTTGCAAAATGCTTGTGATATGTTGTATACCAATGCACGCCTACCTCCGCGATGCCGTACAGCGGCTTGACAACTCGCATCACTTTGCCTTTGGGGTGCTTCTCCTCGAGTTCCTTGGCTCTCATGACATAAGGGAGTGCTGCGAAGATTGTTAGGCTTGTTTCTTGCTTTGTTCTTGATGGCTTTACGCAGAAGAAACCAGTAAGATCTTGCATATATCGCTCGTTGCAGCGTTAACTCTGACTGCAGGTAGGCTTGCATGATATCCGACCTGTCAGGATATACGTTCGAAGCAGCAGCAACGACGGTGTGAGCGCCAAGATGAGGCGTTGGCTGCAGCGTTGGATTGTTGGTGATTGTGCGAGCACGGTTCTCTTCAGCGCTTCCCATACAGTCTCTGCTGAGATATCCTTCAGGAATATCGCGTTCTGGAAGGCGGTTGCTGCACACGCCACGGTGTGGGTGAAATGGGTGCGCCCTGTAAGTGCCCTGTGGTCGTGTTGGCGTCGGTGTTCTTGGTGAGACTTCCTTTTACCCTTCTACCAGGAGAGGAGTCTATTTCATACGACTGGCACTGTATGCTCATGATCGGGGCCGCCACCAGCTTCAGTGGACGATTCAGTGCCAAGGTGACACCAACCAGTGTAGACTCAACGCTGATCCCAGTAGAGAGCAGAGAGACCATCACCAATTCCCCGGATCCCCTTGGGCTATTGGAAAACCAGGTGGGAGAGACTCCGGAGGCGCCACGCAACCCCGTGGCAATTTGAGCGACGAGTCACCTCGGGCGTAGGAGTCCACCGGTTGCCCTCTTGTCATCTTCATCACCGCCGGAGCATCCATCGAACGACTTGTCGCTTCGGTGATGCGCTTCGTCTCTTCGGCATGCTCAAAAGCCCCTCGAGACCCTTCTTCCTTGGGTTGTCACCTGGGATTGCGACTGGTGAGCTGGCGATGCTCGAGCTTTGGGCTCTTCCTACATGCCCAGGCAGGCATATTTCGCAATTTCTTCACTGTTGAAGCGCCTTGTCGTGTGGAATTGCCATTCAAGAGATCCTGTAGGGGTTGTGTTCCAGCAGATCACATGACGCGACCTCTCCGTCGAATCCGGTAGTATACTTGTACCACGAGCGGCGCAAGCCACCCAGCTTTCATCGTGTTAGTTGTTTTCGCCGATTTGCACCTCTAGCGAAATTTCTTCTCATCAACCCGCCGGAACATATTTTCAGCTATTCGATCCGCCACATGGCAGCTAAGCATCCTTTGATAGATCGTCCTCAAGCTTCTGCTGCTCTGCGGCTCCCAGGTCCTACAAGCAGTGCCATAGTCGAAGAGCCCATGGTAGCTTTTTGATTGATTGGTGTCAGACAATTTGACATTCACAGCATTGTATTTCCCTTACTAGTCCATTGTAGAAGGACATACCTAGGTATGCCCTTACATAAAGAGGATCTCAGAGGCGAGGAGTCCTGGGGTGGCAGGGGCAGGGGCAGGTAAAGCAGGTGCAACGACGGTATGGGCACGAGGGGTCATACCGTGGATGGGCTGCATACCATCTCGCCCTAGGCAGCGGAACCCCAGCCGTTGACCTGAGGCGTCGCTAAGGGTTGACGACTAAGGGCCCCTCGCAGAAGGCAAATGACAACGCGGCGCAGTCTTGGAGATGATACAGGATAATCTCCTGTCTAGTGCATGGCACAATGCACCGACATCTGCCTATCATTTGCCTCCTGCAAGGGGCCTCGGCGCTAGTCGTCAACCTTAGAGACGCCCCAGGCAACGGCTGGGGTTCCGCTGCCCAGGGCGGGATAGCATGCAGCCGACACACTGCCAGCATGGCAAGAGAGGGTAGTTCGGAAGCCGCGCAGTATCAGCAGGATGGCGTGCCGGAGTCAAGGCACCGGAGCCCGGGCAAGGAGTCGAGAGAGCTTGCGTGGCTATAGGGGCGGAACGGATTTATAAGACACATCCATCACCTAGGAGCCGAACAGGATGATTGATTGATGGCAAAGCGGCATATAGATCATTGGAGCGGCCGTTTTGTGGATTGTCCGGTTTACTCTGTCATGTATACCACATATATAGTGCTGGGGAGCCATAGTTGATTCAAGAGGTGTATGATGTTTGGCCAATCAAGTGGTAATCAAGCCCAGATCAAATTCTCCATCGAAACAATAGCATAAGATATAATGATACCTTGCGTAGGCTTCGGAAAAGGCCGGGGAGATCTTACTTCTGGAAAACAGACGAGAGATATATATCTCGGTGCCTGGTCGGTGGGAAAACATGGTGCGATTGTGTCCATCATAGGATTTAATGAAGACTTCTCCCATACATCAGCATGAATTAGAGCTCCACGCTTTCTCCGTCATCTTCGGGTAGTTTCGCTGGTAATCGTTACCAGCGCCCTAAGTGTAGCTCATACTGGGCATATTTGATCAAGCTCCTTCAGGCCCTTGCCAATCGCATAGACCTTTGTGACTCGAAAGGTGCGAGGTCTGATACAGTAAACCAGCACTTGTGCGTCTGAGAAGAAGCGCACGATGTCGTTGTACACGTTAGGGATATAATTAAGGCGTCGAAGGCACTCTGGACCTCTTAGATCTGCTCATTTTGTAAAGCAGGCATCTTGGACGATAGAGAAAGGGAACGAAAAATTAAATGGGAAAAAAAAAAAAACATAGTAAGTGAAGATTGACCTTACAATTTGATGCTCAGATGTGTGGGCGTCTGGGTGATCGACGGATTAAATGTTGGCAGCTTAAACTCCAAATAAACTTCCTCAAAGACAATTCATGCGTCCAGGCCAAGGCATTGTGTCGCAGGTTCCCCTCTGGGATCTCAGGTTCTGGCTGGCCATTATGGCGCAGCTGGGCCAGCCATCGGTCGACTCCCTCACGAAAGCGACGTTCGTCTGCTGGGTACTGCGACATAACAGCACCAGTCAAAATAAAAGTCTCGCCAAGTACACCACTTGGGCTACTCATAGTTACCTAGTTCTAATAATCGCTCCGTGATACGGAACTCGGGGCCATGGGTCGGTCTTCCAACCGGCATTCAGAAGCAACACAGCGTCGCAAAGCTGAACAGTGCGACACGCCCCATAGGCACAGTAACTGGTCTGCTGCTAAATCCAGTCCAATTAAGAAATGGCATTCTCCGAAAGTGTGTGACAGAAACCCCTTCATCCCCGTTCGATGGCGTCAGGTTCGAAGGTTCGGCGTCGTCCATTGGCTCGTTTTCTAGATCCTCCGGACGAGGACCAGTGTCACCCTGGGGCGGTCCCCTCGTTATGATTTTAATCTTGATGCGGCGAGGGGTCTTACCCCCCGGCTGGGCAGACTGCGGCGGGGACTGCTGGTTCGTATCCTCTCCATCAGAGGCAGAGTCTTGAACTATCTCCGAGGATAGTGGACCGCGTTCGTCATTCTTTGCAGCAGTAGCTGCCAGGGTACGCTTGGATGGCTTGTCTTCCTGAGGGACCGCATCCTCGGTTTCAGTGATGACCACTTCACAATTTGCTAGTTCCGAAGACAACACCGGCGGAAGTGATGACCACTTCACAATCATTGCTAGTTCCAAAGACGACACCGGCGGAAATGATGGCCACTTCACAATCTTTGCTAGTTCCAAAGACGACACCGGCGGAAATGATGGCCACTTCACAATCTTTGCTAGTTCCAAAGACGACACCGGCGGAGTGATCACCGCTTCGCAATCTTTGCTAGTTCCAAAGACGACACTGGCGGAGTGATCACCACTTCGCAATCTTTGCTAGTTCCGAAGATGACACCGGTAGAAGTGAAAGGCCTGTCTTGGAGGGTGACAATAATGCAGCCGTCTATGAGCAAGAACTCCTGTAACGAACCAAGCAGCAGTGAAGGGAGCGAGTGATATGAATCGTCATTAACACACTAGTGATCAGTGAGGTTAGGCTTCATGCAGCAAAGCAGAGCTTCATTCATAGGTTTTTGTGTGATGTTGATTGATTGAAGAGAAAAGAAGAGAATGCAGAGGCTAGCAAGTGGTGGAGTTGTAGGCACCCCCCAGTGTGTCACGTGACAACTCCAGCTGCACCTTGTCCATTCAAGCCCTTTACAGCTTCTTCTGTGTGTGGGCGAGGTTGAGATGCTCGATGATCTGGCGATCAGTGAATCCCTACTTGTCTGATTTCCTACATGTAGGCCATCCGGTTATAATCTTGGCTAACACCTTGGTGGTGAAGGCGCAGTTGTCGGAAATTTTCCTCAAGGTCTCCAGCGTGACCAGGTGCATACATCCACGGAGGACTCTCTTTGATGAGAGTCATGAGGGCGCCATACAGTCCCAGCTGTCTTTTGCAATGGGCGATTATCATCACTGCACGCATCCGGACCAGGCGAACCGCCGTTGCGCGATTCCCACGCGAGCATTCACCACACCCCAATATGATGTGTTGGCGTTGTTTTCCATTGAACAGAATATCCAAGCAGGCGGGGGCGATGGCTTGGGCACTCTTCAGCAGTTGTCTCGTCCATTCCATCACAGCTTTACCGGATTAGTATTCAGCATGGACCACTGTCTGGAATCACGCGTGGAGTTATCGTCACGCTCGCCCATGACATAACACAGAAACCGTCATTGCCGGACGATGGTCTGCATCCGAACTGAGACACATAAGTCGAATACTTCTCGGTCACCGCGTACTACCTGGACAGGCGTGAGAGCGTGAGCCAGATAGCGACGCCGCCATCGACAGCTTGCTTGTACTCATCCTCACGGAGGAGTGGCAACTCCTCCGTGACTTGGACTGAATGTTCAGCCGGTTGAATTGATAGAACTCAATCCGCTGCTTTCAATCGGTCTGCGCGAGACGGCAGGTTCTGCAGGAAGCGATGTGGTTTCTGACTAACTGGGTTTTCCCTTTGAAAGCAAAGCCTTCCAGTTCGTGAACCAGTCTATCGCCTCCAAGGTGATGCTGGCCATCGTGCACCATTGTGAGCAAGGTCTTGTAGTATTCGGTCTAGTGAGCTCTGTAAGCAGCGGCGGCGGTTTATCTGCTGTCTCTCCCAACAGTAGTAGAGCAGGGAGTGATTTTTACTTCTTTGCTTAACTGCGTTCCAAATATGCGTATGTAGTCCTCGCAGTATATCTCTAGTGCGGCGTGATTCTGTATTGATAGAGGGCTCTGGGTCGTATATAATAAGTACTTTTCCCTGAGGCTGGCGAGCGAGGACAGCAATAGCAAAACAGTGCTAATGATGCCAGTGGTATCTGTCCTTAACCATATTGCGGAGCACGCAAAGGCAAACCTTGCCATGGTTCCCTTCCAGCGAGGAGTTGCCACTCCTCCGTGACTATTCTGCGATGCGCAATGGCTTGTGGTACATCCCCGCGGTGGTGTACCTTGGCTTACACGGGATCATGGCCATAAAGCCAGTTGGACCTATTGCCGCATCCTTCCCTGTGAGGCCTCGTAGTTGAACCTTCCAATTTAGCCCATTTTCAAATGAAATCGGAACCGAGAGTGTTCGCCTCTTCTAGCCATTCCTAGCAAAGTAGATACAGAGCCGAATTCACTTTGTGGATAATGCCAGTGGTTTTCGTCACTTCATCACAGGCTCTCTCTCGTCAGAATCGAACAAGAAACCCATGATGTTGGAGTTTGTTTCATCGCCGAATATGGTAGTACCGTATCCCGGAGGCGCCGACCGCCTTGGACTACAGCTGCAGCCTCCATTCGGTCAGAAGAAATGATACGATGACTTTGCGGACGGTGCCTGCAGGAACTTGCGAAATCATGATGCGATCAGCCATGGATGAGTTGCATGACACATCAATCTTCTGCACAGGCTGATTTCCTTGGTACATGCAACGGCTTTCCTGGCTGGAGCAGTCTTGCATCCATCAGAGTCGCCCCAAACGACAATCTCAGTCGAAGAGCGGCATGAATGCATGTAGAATTTGCGCCGATTAGCTCGAAGTATGAGAACGTCTGGGTCGTGTGCGCAAATTGCAAATGTCTCTTTCTTGATCTTCTGGTGGAATGTTGTGGTACTCCCACCAGTAGTCCTCTTCTGTGAGCTCTTCTGCCTTCATAATTACTCTCTCTTTGGTCAAGTGGTAGTTTGCAGCCCACCACTTCAAAGGCTGAGAAAAGGGTAGCGCTGCATATGCACCCCTGGGAGCTGAGCTAGAACTTCACTGATGTAATACGTTCAGGCGTTCCCTACATGGGCTAAAATGTCACGCTGCTCAGATTCTAGAACTGGTTGAATAACGATGGAACAGGTGCTGTCCCAAGAGTGGCCGGCAGGTCTTGAGCGGCGGAGCTGCCTTGCGGCCGGCTTGTTCGAGTATGTTGACTCTGAGTTGCAGAGCTGCGTTGCTCTTCTCCAAAACCGTATTGCTTGTCTCCAGCTTGTCGATGCGATCTTTAGGCTTTCTGACCGTCTCCTTGAAAGTCTTGTCGTTGAGCCATGGGTGACGAGCAGGATCCGGGTTCCTGCATCCGTGCAGAGCGACTAAGAAGGCCTTAACCTGTTGCGATAGGGCTCTCAGGGAAGATGGAACGAGACCGTCAGTGTCAGGCATAAACAATACGCAGAGGCTAGTAGCACATAGAAGAAACCCTGTCCTGTTGCCCAGTCGCCCAGGACTCCGATGATTGTTTGAGCAGCCTTCGAGTGTGACCGCTTGGTCCTTTTCATGAGTGCATACACGGCTGAACAAAACAGAGGCAAAAGTAAAGTTTCTCAAGTGTGTTGGTGTAGGTAGTTGCTGGGCGGGGCTCTTTACCCACTGAGAAGGGACAGAGAGGTTTGGCCGTTTTGGCAATGTGTGACCGCGCATGGCGAAGCTGAGAAGATGTGTAGCGAGGGAGCTCGAGGTGATGATAGTCTTCCTTGACCAGGAAAGCTGTGGGTAGATACTCGTTCGCCTCATTCACCACGAGTCGTAGTGTCGTTTGAGTGGCGCGTATGGCTAGACCTTGATCCAGCTGTGAGGTCCTGGTTCGTGACGGCTTACTCTCCAGATCTGTGTGCAGGATCCAGTCGCCCAGCTCAAGACTCCGCGACCGTGAGACACCTTTGCATCATCTTCGCCACCTAATATTGAAGATCGTAAGGGTATTCCTCGCCATCACCAAGCCATTTTGGGGTAGCTGATCGCAGATGAAGTATATCGTGGATGGTCCACGTCTGTTTCTGAAAGAAGTCTCGCACAGAAGGCAAAAAACCGTCAAGAGCAGCATTGACAAGTCCGAGGGAGTTTTGCGTAGAGAAAAACCTGTAGTGGGTGTCGCGAGGCATTCAGGGGTCTGTGGAGGCTAGAGGTTTCCAGCATATCGCGGGACCCGACCTCTATCGTGAAAATCGGGAGGGAGGGTGGTTGGCTGGGAGATAGTCAAAACCGAAATAGTCGACATCGTACAGGCCCTCCGAGGAATGGCAACACCGTAACATGAGAAGTAGACCGCCTTACTGGTCATGAGGGTGTGAGGCAATAGGAGTTCTATAATCTCATCTAGAATACAGCTGGCTGGGTGTTTGCCGCCTTCTCCGTTTCCTCCTTTTAGTCCGGGTGAGGCTGTTGGCGGCGATTGTCGCCGTTTGCTTCATCCGCCAACGTGATAACCTGTGAGCCTAGCTCCCCAACCGCTCGAATCATTAGCGGTGGTCTGATCAGATGGGCTTGGGATCTCTTGAATTGGGACTCAGGATGATTCTTGGGAGTCGATAGAGGGCATTTCAAGGTAACCGAAAATAACTCAATGCGACAAGAATTTCTCAGGGAGCATTGTATTGGTGGCGGGGAGCAATGTCGGCGCCTCCTCTGCCGCAACAATTGAGGCGTATTATCTTGATGTGGACTGCAAAGATGGAAGAGGATTGGAGTCAAGGCCCAAGATGGAAGAGGATTGGGGTCAAGGCCCAAGATGAAAGAGGCATGAAAAGAGAGACCGCTACGGAGTCGCTCGTAGAAGGTGGCTGGTACCACGTGTAGACGTATGTATCTGGGCTCAGACATATCATACGCTAGTATAGGAATGATCAAGATCAATGTGTTCTCATCACCCAGACGGGTGCTTGCGTTGCTCCTCCACGTTTCTCGTCATCGTCGAGATGCTCCATGGTGAAATTCCATGTACTCTTTGTCTGGATCGATCCTTCTGTTCAAGCTGGTAATGTATGTGTACAGTATGTAGCAGAGAATGCATAGAGCAGCCAGGACAAGTGAACGCCAGCGTAGGGAGGATCAGGATTGGTGTGTCTCGATCACCCAGATAGGTGCTTGCGTTGCTCCTCCGCGTTTCTCGTCATCGTCGAGATGCTCCATGGTGAAATGCCTTGAGCTCTTTCATCTGGATCGATCCCTCTGTTCAAGCTCGCAATGTATGTGTACAGTATGTAGCAGAGAATGTATAGGGCAGCCAGGAGAAGTGAAAACAGAGTGACGGAACTTCCGACAACGCTGCTCGAGCGTAGGACCAGTATTCAGCCCAAAGAGATCGGTAGAGTTCGGAGTTCGACGTCTCTGAATACGTACAAAACCATCGGAGAAAGAATTGAAAACGTGTTGATGCGAAAGTGTGAGTGCGAGGACATGACTGCAGCTTTGCCTTGTTTGGCTCGCGAAGACATGGCTGCATCAAGAAGACATTCTAACGGCTGAGTGTGACCAATCTGGCGGGGTGTAGAAGGTGAGGGGCTCGATATGGTGTCATCAAGGAGGACCGACTTATCCTTCGTTCCAGGAGAGCTCATGTGACTAGAGCCTCGGGCACTTCTGGAATCGCTTGAATCTGGGGTGCCGCCATTGTTCAGCTTCTTTGATGGAGGCATGGTGTTATTCATAGGAGGTTGATGTAGCTACATCAGAGGAAACGATAAGGCTCGTGCAGTTGGATCGAGAGACTGAAGCCTGAGGGGGTGGGTGAAGAGATGAGAAATGAAGAGTTGGTCTGGTTTATCCCGGCCAGCCATATATCAGATGCCACAGACCGAGAGGGCCCTCATCCTCAGAACGTAAGGGTTTGTACGGGATAGGAGAAGGGGGTTGAGGCCGATGATGGGGTTCTTGATACACGAGGCCCAGGACAGATATGCCAAAGCAATGGCACATAGCTCATTGGCATCCCCCAGAGGCAAGCGCATCTCAATGCTAGATGGGCGAGATTGAGCGCGCAGTCCCAGTCGCGAAGTTCGCGTGTTGGAAAGGAGTGACAACTGAGCGAGGTCTGAGTTGGGCGGATAAGTGAATGGGAGAAGCCAGCTGGTAGGCCGCGAGTTCCAACGTGGTCGCGGCCAGTCTATCGGATCCATGGAGCGGCTATCGGACCGCAGAGGTCATCACTCCTGCAGGGCGCAGAGAGCTACATGGAAATGAATGGTGGATGAGAGGCCCAAGAATCGTTAGAAAATATCCAACCGCGTTGACTGTAAGGCCAACTCTTCTCTCCCAGCTAGGACGGTAACCATCCAGGATATAAGCAATACTTGTCTTTCAGTCCAAGACACAAGCGATGCAGTGATGTTTATACACGACAGACAACATTTGTCCAGAGAAAAACGGCCAAGAAATCTGCGCTTCACGCAGTCGGAAGCCGAAGTACCTAGCCGCGACATAGGATAGCCGGGCGTAGGGGCGATCTCTCCCATGCGATAGCTTGGGTATCTGTTTCCACAGCCTCGCGAGTGTATCCATTGCATCAAGCGTATCGTGCAGTTTTGCAAGAGACTTGCTGGGTGCGCCCACCTTCAGCAAGGCATTTATTCCTCTTGCTGATGTGCCATCCGTTGTACGAGACAGCTACTACACGGCCGTGATACGCTCAATGTCTGCTCGCCGGCGATGTGCAGTCTCATTCATATGAGACCAACACTCTCTGTCTTGGAGTCCCCAGCGCTCCCGACGTGGCCAATGACGACGTATGCAACGTAAGGTATGATCGCAACAATGAGAGCAATGGCGGCGTGACAACACTCCTGCAGTCACGCACCAAGGAGTCCAGGCAGTGTCAGCCACCGCGGCGGGGAGCTAACATTAATGTAGCTTCGACCCTCAAATGAACACTGCGAGGTGGTTAGTGGAAGTACCCGACAGAAGAGCAGGACACTGACACATGTTCAATGATGAAGGGACCTCCCAGGCACTGGCCGAGTGCTCTCATACCTCCCACCCATTGGGCATTTGGGACAGGGAAAACCAATTGGAGTCAAAGAGGGAGGAATGCTTGGAGGAAACTCCAAGACAAGCGGAATTGAAGTGGCATATATGGGAAGAGTGAGTCTAGGAACGCTCATGGATGGCAAAGGGCAGAACAGAGTCGCAGTTGGTGAGCACTCCACTTCACGGATGATCTTTTCAAACACTCGAGCAATCTATTTAGCGAGGGACACAAACATACCGCGTATGCGTGTCAGAACCCGACGCAAGATTCGGAGTGGGGTTCCCTGTAGAGGAATATGTGCAACGAACGGAACACCCAGAAAGAGAGCATACCTCCGTTGTGTGATCACGGCCAAGCAGACTGCGCCGGGCGGCATGGATGGCAGTCGTACATATAGGTAGCTGGGTAGACCGATTGGTTCATTCTAAGACATCATGATTTTCGTATACACGGGTTTCAGCTGTTGCTTCCCGTCATAGTGATTGTGTTGCCGATCGTCAAAGCAATACGAACCAACACGCGGATGTGGAACGTAGCCGGCTGGCTCCCGTTGTGCAGTTGATACATGGCCAAGCACGAGGGCCATTAGCCATGGCTGGCAGTTAAGACATTCGGTTTCATCACAGGAGTCCTTTGTCATCTCCAGTATGGTTGGGAGGGCTGCGCAGGTATGACACGGGACCTGCTGGAGAGTACATAGCTCGGTTAATTGAAACCGTGTCGCGAGCAACAGGAGTAGTATGCCCCTTTCGAGCTCGTTACACCCATTGCTGTAGCATGGGAAGTCCGCCTGCCAAGCCAATTTTGGTGCAATCATGACGGTGTAGTTGCCGTACTGCCGACTGAGCCGTGGCTAGAGACGGTCTGCTCCGAACCGCGATGGAGTTGATCAGTTTAGGTTTTCAGAACAGTGCCCAACTTCAGTTAATACTTAGTGTAGGGTAAGCAGAAATCACGAGTTGGTTGATGCGTCATCCATTTTGGCTAGGGCCGATCCCAAGTGGAGCCTTCCGCAACTCTCCGCCCTTGGCTCCAACTTGGCCAGATCTTAGCTCGTTACCATCCGTTGATAACTTCCAGACACGTTCTAGAAGTCACTGTCGGCAAAGAGGTGAATGCGATGCATATAAACACACTGCAACATGACCATTCGACCCAATTGCTCCTGGGATAACATGCAAGGGAGGTGCCCATGTGTGCTGCAGGGCTTGAAGCTGCAGCCGTCAGCAACATGAGCATCATCATCCTACGTCATCGGAATTGTTCCTGGGAACAGGCTTCGGCACCAGCTTCCCGAGCCCGTCCTGACAGAGGTAGGTTGAACCTTAAGCTGAGACCGGCTCTCTCCTGTTGCTCAAATACCTCCATCCACCTATTGATATTGATGAATCGAAGCCACCGTCTTGCTCACATCTGACCTAGTTGCCTCTCATGGTAGGCAAACGATCCCTCAACCGCGACGACGGCGTCCCCTACTACCGACTGAACCAACAAGCCGGCGTCGCGCCCGACCAGAGCCACCGCCATGGCGACCTCGAGAACGGCAAACACAACCACACCCCCTACCACTATAGCCGCCGTAGCATCGCCCGGAGCCGCCTCCCCCCACGCATCATCCGCTTCCAAGACGCCGCCCGCACCGCCCTCGAAGACCTCCACCGCAACCAGCTGAAGAACGCCCTCCTATCCGGCATAGACCGCCAGGGCCTCGAGCGCTTCCGCAAACCCGACCACGAGATCAAGCAGATCAAGAACAAGAAGCTCCAGGCATTCTACCGCGACCAGAACGAGAAGCTCAACGACTGGCTCGAGGTGGACGTCGTCGTCATGGCCGTAGCCGACGACGTCCTCGAGTCTATGAACCCGGACCCAGACGAGGACGGCGACCAGGAGCGGAGCGGCGGCCTGCAGCACGTGGCCGGGTGCGTGGGCGAGCTGCTCCCCGACGAGGAGAAGGCGAGGCGGCGGAGGGCGGCGAGGAAGGCCAAGTGGGCCATCAACGTCAACGTGGCCGCCAACGTCCTGCTGCTGGCCGGCAAGGCGTTTGCCGCGTTTACCACGGGGTCGCTTTCTCTGATGGCTTCGCTCGTCGACTCGGCTCTCGATCTGTTGTGCACGCTCATTGTGTGGTCGACGAATCGGTTGGTGCTTTGGCGGCTTAACGCGCTGCAAAAGCGTTTCCCCGTTGGACGGCGTCGGCTAGAGCCCCTCGGTATCCTTGTCTTCTCCGTCATCATGGTCATATCATTCATGCAGATCCTGCGAGAATCTGTTTCCCGTCTTATGCCCCCGCATGGAGATCCGGAGATGCTGGGCTATGCTGCCATTGCATCCCTCGTGGCTACAATCGTACTCAAGGGGAGCATTGGCCTGGCCTGCCGACCCATCAAAACGACGCAGGTACAGGCTCTTGTCCAGGATTGCAAAACAGATGTCCACTTCAACACCCTTTCGCTCCTGTTTCCTCTGATCGGATATCATGCCCATGTGTGGTGGCTTGATCCGCTCGGCGCCGGCCTCTTATCCCTGTACATCATCTACGACTGGGGCCATACCTCCTTTGAGAATGTGACCCGTCTCTCCGGCGAGGCAGCCGACGCCCGAACCCTGCGCAAGCTCACCTACCTCGCATATCGTTTCTGCCCCGTTGTCGAGGGGTTCAAGTCAATAACGGCGTACCACGCTGGTGATGGCGTTTGGGTAGAGTTCGACATCCTTCTAGACGAGAACACGAAGCTCTCACGCTCCCATGACATTGCAGAGACTCTTCAGTACTGCGCCGAGGGACTTGGAGAAGTTGACAGGGCGTTTGTGACGACTGATTATGCTGCCATTGGACCAAGCGGGCACGCTGTTGACGCTGAGATGAACCATTAGCAGCGTCGATAGCTCACTAGTGCTTCCCCTTTGAGTAGCTTTCGCCATTCTAGTTGTCTTCAGGACAGGGATCATCTTTTTTTTTTCTTTTGTTTCAGTAATATCAGTGGCATAGGAAAGGCGTTGAGATGGAAAAGACATACGGCATACGACCTATACAAGGAATAGGATATTTGAAGCGTACTTTAAAGACGATGATTAGCCTATAACTCTCGTTCATAAACTTCAACGCATTTTTATCTTGATCCGCTTTACTTCAAGTTCATCATTTGGATCATGCATCCTCATCTTTGGTAAGAGGAAGAAGACAATCTCCCTTTTGTAAGCCCACTCAGTGATCAAGCATAAAACAGAATGCAATTTCTCTCTTGGCTTGGGCACTATTCCACAATATGGCGCGTTAATTTTTCTTCAGTATTGCTTTGCTAATTGCAGATCACTCGACAGCTAGAGCATTGTACATATTTCCATGACCTGACAAATATCCCCTGAGGCCTGCGCTCTCTTCATGATCATCCCTCCAGACGTCTGCCCCGGGAGGTTTGATCAGGTCCTCGATGGTCCATGCCACTCTCTCCGCGCCAATCTTGGCCCCTCCAATGTTCGGAGCAGCAGGCCCTAGCTGCAGCGCACCAAGACGTCCCACCATGAACAGCGGCACGTTATCCTTCCACATGAGATCCTCATTCAGGCAAGGAAACCCCCCATAACCTTTGATGGGATACTTCTCCAGCATCGTCTGCAGATACGGCAGCTTCGCGAAATCCGTCTGAATCCCCGTGGCGAAGTAAATGTAGTCAAACGACGGAAGGTCAGGAATCGCCGGCTCGGTCTGCACGGTCCATTTACCAACCCCCTCACCGTCCTCCTCAAACTTCGCATCGACGAGCTGCGTCATCGTGTGCATGTCCAGCTTCTTCGCGGCGACGTGCCTCTTCATCCGCTTGTGGAACACGGGCGTGAAGCTCCCGCCGCCCCGCGCCTCCTTGATGATCTGCAGCCTCTCGACGTCCGACTCGGCGGTCCAGAACTGCGCCTGCTTCGCGTTCTTGTATTTCCCCATCCAGTCGAGGTCCACGTCGAAGTGCTTGACGCGGCACGGCCCCCGCATGATGAGCCACGCCTTCGTCACGCCCCTCCGCAGGGCCAGGTCGACGATCTGCGCGGAGGTGAGCCCCCCGCCGACGACGAGGATGTGAGTGGACTTGTGCGCGTCGATTCTCCTCTGCACGATCGGGTCCGGTATTCTCTTGATCTGCATGCTGTGGCAGGCCTGCGGGAGGGGCAGCTGCTGCGGCATGGAGGGGAGCTTTGGGATGTTGGCCACGTTGGCTGGGCCGACGGCGAGGATGACCGTCTTGGCGTAGCGGACGCGGAGGTTGGACCTTACGGTGAAGAGGTCCTCTTCGTCGATGGAGATGCCTCTCACGACGCCGTAGTCGATATCCTCCAGGGTTTCCTTGTGGATCAGTTCAGGAGATAGCCTGTATCGGTCGATGACATCGTCACAGTGATCACAGAAGAGAGACTGTGAGGGGGTGTAGTAGTCGTTGCGCTCTCGGAGGTTGATGGCCACTCGGGCACTCTGTCTAGACGATATCGTGTCAGTAGCTGTAGCAGGCTGAAGTCAATGTCCCAGCTTACTTGTTCCCACAGGCCTTGTTGTAACCCACTCCCTTCTTCTTGCCGTGCTTGCTGACCTCTTTGCCAACACAATTGCGTATCTCAATGATCTCGTCTTCCCTCTCGGTGCGGTAGGTATGAGCCAGCAATGCGTCTCGATCCAGTGGATCAAGGTGCCATAGCATTGGGCTACGCAAATGGGAGATACCATAAGCTTCGAAGAGCCTCTTCCACCGAGAAAGCCAACGATCCTCGGTAGAGTCGAGAATGGTGATGTTATAGTCGGGCCTCCATTGCTTTGTGTTGGCCGAGGAGAGCTTCCCGCTGCGGACGTGCTTCAGGGAGACTTTGCTGCCATGTTTGCCGATCCAGTGATAGCGGCGATGCTCCTCGTCTGTGAAGAGGGCGGCCGGGGTGCGTTCACGAAGACGAGCAGCGACTGCTAGTCCACACGGGCCGGCGCCTACGATGATGACATCGTAAACCTCCTCTTCATGAGGTATCTGCGTATCCATCATCTCTGCAGGATCAACCAAAGTAGTAGACGTGTTAGATAAGAAGTCCTCTTTCATTGGGTTCTTGTAGAAGCTTGACTTCAACTTGAGAAGGCGGGGAGACGTATACGTTAGAGAAGATAGAGGAGAACAACCTCCTTCAGTTATAATCCCGGTAACAGGGATAACTAGACGTATATCCAACCCATGCCTGCCAGCAATGCATAAGAACCCATCACGCCAACCCGCAGTTCGGCGCAGATGAGAACCCTTTTGTCCCTCCAGATCCCCAGAACATGGTCCTGCCGCTGATGCAGAGACGGCAGCGCCTATGGGCTTGTGCTGCTCTGGGCTTTGTTTCCTCAAAGCCCCATCTTGACGAGACGTGTAGCGAAAATAAGGGTATCATGACACCTTGATGGACAGGACTCGGGATAGTGTCACAAGAGGCAGACCATCAAGGTGCACCGCCCACAGCGCTGACTTATTGGATAATTACTCGAGGTACCTACCAAGGTATAATGGCCCAATAATTGGCTACCGTATGTTGTGACGGATGTTCCATAGGGGCCTGACTTGGCTTTCTTCGGTCAAGACGAGTGATCGTTGTGACGCAGATATTGCTGAGACGTGCGACGCTGTGTGGGCTTCAATGCAATCAGCAGCTCTAATTTATAGTGGGCTAAAACTGTCCCAGTGGACGATTCAATGGACGGCCAAGTGGGTGACATGAGAAATGAGACACCTAATGCAAAAGTCATCATAAACTAGGTACTTTCCGTGATGAATAGAGAAATGAGTAGTAGAGAAGAAGTAAAGTAGCAATATATGCTGTATTATCTCTTGAGTATGTATTATAAGTACTCAATAAATTTGATAATGCCGCTTGCAGGTTTAAAAATAAGCAGCTTAATGTTTGAGTGTCTCAATTTCAATGTCACCCACTTGACAGCCTAGAAAATCACATGCCGAAAGGGCATTGAGACTACGTCATGTCATATATTCTTCGCTTTCCAATTGTTTTTCTTTGAATTAATCAAGCGCTTGACGTCCTTGGGTCTATATGCCAAAGAAACATCCCTTTGATAGCAGTAGATAATCAACCAAGAAGCATTGTCTATTAGTCTTTTGGCCATGATGCTGCTTTAGTAGCCGGGCTGGTAGCTTAAGGGACCCGCGATAGCCCAGCCAGCTGAACTGGGCTTTCATCATACCACAACACCACCAAACAGAGGAAAGTACACCAAGCCAATATCGATCCTCACATCCAGGATGGCTCCTGTTCTAATACTCGTTCGTCACGCGCAGGCTATTCACAATCTCAAACAAGGTGTGTTCCCTTTACTCGGTGCCCGTGTCATCCAAGCTTGGGATTGGGAATTGACCAGGCTGCATCAGACTCGTCGATCCACGACCCAAGTCTATCGGATTTAGGCATACGACAATGCGCTAGACTCAAAGCCCATCTGAATACAGAGCTTACGGCAGAGATGGTCGAGAATATCGGGCTGATCCTCGTCAGCCCCATGAGACGGACCATCCAGACCGCCCTCTGGTCGATGGACTGGCTGCTGCAAAAGGGTGTCCCCATACAGGCCAGTGCGGGGTGGCAAGGTAAGCAGACAAGCCATCGCGACCTCTATCTAGTCCATTCAATGTCTGAATGAGGTGTGCTTTCAGAAAATTCCGACCATCCCTGCGACACGGGCTCTCCCATCTCCGCACTCAAGGAAGAATTCCCGCAAATCGACTATTCGTCTCTAGATCCCGTATTCCCTGAGAAGAATTCACAGGCAGCGGATCGCTACAGGTACAATCGGCAGGCGATCCTGGCACGTGCCCAAACCTGCCTGGGCGAGCTGTACTCTCTGGAGGCCAAGGCAGTCATCGTAGTATCTCACTCGGGGTTTTTGAGGCAGGGAGTGACAGGGTGTTGGTTCGACAATGCAGATTATCGCATTTTTGATATCCACAAGGACCAACCGGTGATTCATTTCACATTAAGACAGTGGGAGAGAACCAAAGCTGGCGGGTTGGGGTTAAGCTGGACCGAGAGGACTGAGCTGGGCCAAGGGCTCCCTGAAGATTCAAGCCTTTCCATGGCGTCCGAATGATAGCCCGGTGATAATAAGCTGGGCTGGGGAAGTTTTCATGCCATCGCCCAAGTAAAATAATGGACTAGGGCCGAACGTTCCGCTGCGAAATTAGGTGGCTGGTTCTATTCTGCGAAAGTTCCGGCTTATATGTGATACAATATAAGTCAGTATAGCCAAACTACCCGGACTCAAGCTTCCCAAACACGCCTGCACATATCTGTGATTGATTTGCCCTTTGTGATAGCAACCCATAGGCCAAAGACGAGCGATGTGACTGGTATGGTCCACGCCAAGTACACCCAAAACCCATCCTGAACTATCCGCGACCCATCCCACTGAAGAAGAGGCATCGAGAAGAGGGCGGCGAAAAACGTGCCCGGTAGGAAGGCCATGGTCATAATTGCCACCGTCTTCATCGATGAACTATCCCGTCTTGTGGCCACGGCTAGACCGATGCTGGCACGAGCATCCACATGGGTCAGCAAGATGAAAAGCTATTCAGAGGAGATTAGTCCACAGTCTCAGGGTCCAATGAATGATCCAATGTCACCCACCACGGAGGAAAGTCTCTCTGTTCGATGCTTCAAGTATGTCAAATACTCCTCGTAAGTGTGCATGTGCTGTTCGATTGTGGGCAGTACGCCGCACAGCTCGTCCAGACTGGCTCTATACATATCCATCGCTCGGCCTGGGGGCAATGCTGCGGCCCCCGAACACTGGAACCCTTCCTTTAAAGCGCCTAGCATCCTCTCCGAGGTCCGCTGGTGGCGGAACTTGTTGGTGACTTTGCCTCCCACCTCGCCAATAGCTTGCGACCAGGCCGTAAGCTCGTCGATCTCGGCACGGATCGTGCTACCAGTCGGCCTCGATCCAGCTGAGGCGGCACCCGCGTTGCGTGGCCCGAACCCTGTGCGTTTCTCGATCATGTGAATGGTATTGACCTCGGAGGCGGTCTCCCTGTCAAAGTAGTGCTGCTGCTGCACGCATCCGCTGAGAAGCATCACATGGGCGTGGATGGCATGGGCGAAGACGGACAGCACTTGGCAAAAGTCCTGGAAAAGACTCCGCCGACGGTGCATAAACATGCCGACGGTCCTTCTGTGGGAGGGAAGAAAAGTCCATAGCACCGCATGCGAGGATGTTCCGAAAAACCAGGTTTGAAGCGACCCGGGGCTGTTGAAGGAATGGAAGCCGTCGTATTGCCCGCAAACCATATAGAGAGCTGCCGGGTTGACTCCAGCGGCGGTTGTGAGAGATGTAAAGGCTGTCTTGGACATGCTCATCGTATTATCACGGCCCCTATTGACGCATATTAGCCTCAGACTAGCTTCAGCGACAGCACCAGTAGCATCAGTGGGATCTGTCGTTGCCCATGCCTCCACGTCAGCTTCCAAGACTTCGCGCTGGACAATGTCTCTTTTGGTGCTTCCGACACTGGCTGCGTGGTTTGCCTGGGCAAATGCTGAGATCTCAAAAGTGGCATGAGGTGTCAACGAGGGCTTATCCTGGAAACCAGAATAAGAATCAAGTACTTGCTGTGCTAATACTCCTAGGCCATCCAATTTTTACATGAATGGAAAGGGTGTTGCTGAGCTAGCAGATATCATGCGTGCTACTTCTATGATTAGTGGTAAAATTACCGATAGAACAACAGTCAACTCAGCTATATCAAACCAACATACCAGCCGAAGCAGGATAAGTAAGGATATGTCCCCAAGGATGCTGACGTGAGCTGTTGATCGGGATCCAATCGATATCTGTAGCTAAGCTGTGCCATATGCATTCCTACGTAGCTTGCTAATGCATACTGTTGAAAGTGCCCAGTAATTGGAGCGAGGCTGCATTCATAAGCATCCACGCGGTTGCCATTGGCCAACGAATGCTTCAGGTCATTCCGCGTGGTAGCACTTTCAAGCTATACCGGTTGCATTTCCGTCTCGGCGGTATTTTATCTACAGATGATCCTGTTCTGACCGGTTTACGCACATTGTTCTTTGTCGAAGCTTCCAGCATTCTTTACCAAGCAGTTATAAAAGGCAGCCATCCATACCGACACTACCCAACTGTTTTTCCAATTACGCGCCTTTGATATTCATCTTGATTTATTATCAACCTGTGGAAAACCCAGCCCCAATGCCTTTGTGGAATCGTCATAGGTCTAGGCGTGCTGGTGGCCATGCGTCTGAAGACCAAGGCGAAAGACGCCAGGACGGGTCTGATATGGCTGATCCCGAGCCTACGCTTTCATCGTCCTCGAGGGCAACTGGCAGTCAAGGCTCCGCGTTCTCGGCATCAATGATTCATGGACAACCATCACAACAGTCGGCGTCGAGTTCTGCCCCCGTTGCATCTCAGCCCAGCACGCGCTTTGGTCCAGCCGAAACCGCAGGAAGCTACCACCATTCTAGGGCATCTGCAGAACCAAATTCACATTCTTCTAGTCCCTTCCCAAGCACTCAAGCATCACCTAGTCTAGAGAACCAATGGTCATCTACTTTGACCCAAGCGTCAGTCCATTCTGCCGGGTTGCGCTCTACACCGAACAGTCCGAGGCAAGATGCTCCAAGTAGCCTGGGTGGCTCGCCAGCCTCCGTTGCATCGTCGCAAAATCAAGTGCGAGACGCCTCAGGCCGCCGCGAACTTCAACGAAGACCCGTGCCGCCTGATCAGGGACCTGTCGCCCGCCAGGATTCATTCCGGCGACAGGACGATATCATAGAACCCCAATTCCGCGTTGATCGTCCGGATCACTCACGTCTACCCACGGAGACCTCGCGTCAAGACGCTGCAAGGAACGCTGGGACCTCGCCCCAAATATCAGGACGAAGAAATGACCCAGCTCCTACCCAAGGAACCACACGGCCACAAGAGCATGTTTCCATAAATGCTTCACTCGTGGCCTCACTTTCGCCACGCAGAGAGACACATGCTACTCGCCTGCCGAATCCTCCAGAAAGTCCGAATTCATCCAACTTGCCTGTGGACCAAACTGCAAGCAGGCAGCCTGGTCGTTCCGAGCGACAGAGTATGCCTCAAAACCAAGACAACGGGTACAGTCGGTAGAGGAGTCGTTTCTCTTCCCAAACGGACCGGTTGAGCGTAACCGCCAACTGGGCCTCGCAGAGATTGAGAAATTCTTGCAGACTTACGAACGCCTCCAGGCTCACTGGCAAGTCCTCAAGGATTGTGCTATAGAGATAATCAAGACCAAGATGAAAGAAAAGGATATTCGTGGGCAAGTGACGGGTCGGGTCAAAGACTTCGAATCACTGAAGACGAAACTATTGCAGAGGAATTCCCGCGCTCCCTACAAAGACGATGAGGCAATCCTCAACGACGGACTAGATTTCATTGGTCTCCGCATCGCTCTATATCTTCCTGATGACCAACCAAAAGTTGAGCTCCTCCTCAAGGAGGCGTTCGTGTATGAGTCTACCACAACCTTCGATCGAGATTGGGATTACAGAAGGCCCCAAGCCTACCGCAAAAGGTTTGGCGAGTACACGGCCGACCATGTCTGGGTCAAACTCAACAAGGGCGGGCAGCTTCTATACTACAAAATGTTCAAGGAGTACCAGCGCGATGCAGTAACAGGTACTAGTATCATATATCAATCACAGCCTCTCGAGGTTCAGTTGCGATCTGTCCTAATGGATGCGTGGGCGAACCTAAGCCACTTTTTGGAGTACAAACACTTGGACGGTGCTCTGTCTGGAAAAGAAATGCAGCTGCTCGACGCTATCAAAGGGCAGGTCGAAGGCGCCGAGCTTCTAATTGATATACTGCATCAAGAGCATAACAAGAGGATCAATAACAACAAGAGACGTATCGATTCTGTTGAAGACGTCAACGATATTGTTACGGAATACATTCCCGCGGACTTACTGCACAAAATCCCCTGCGGAGACATGAGCTTACTTTTGAAATATCTCCAAATGACCGACCACGCAACTCCGTACAAGTTACGGAAACTCATGGCAGAAGTCAGTACCCGGGACGATATTAGAGCCGGATTGGCGGCGTGGGTTCGCGACTATGATCCTCTACCTACAACAATCTCTTATTACATTACCAGTCGCGTCCTTTCCCACAGGCAGTTGTTCTATACTAGAAATCAGCGGAGTTAGAGTGAGAGGCCGACAACTTTTCCCCGTGTCACTACTGCCATCAAAGAGGCATTGCTCTGGATTCACGAAGGACTATTTCATCAACATGTAACAGATAGACACCTTTCGCCTTTGCAAATCCAGAGATGTGCTTTCATCTGGTGTGTCTATGTTTGGTTTTCAGCGTTTCCCGAAAGCATCCCGACCCAACACGGATTCGGCATGACTTCAGGGCGGGGAGACCCTGCTGCTGGAATTGATTTCATCACAAACCTCTCGCTGCTAGGTTTACTTCCGGTAATTCCGTATCTCAGATCCGGTCAAAAAGTCCACGGTCTTTTTGAGCCTCAATCCGAGCAGCCTGTGCGAAGAACCCCCCCAGGCAGAGCGACACCGCCGTTCCCTCACTTGTATAGCTTCCTAATCCACCAATATCTTGAGGACCGGGAGGCTTGGGCAACCGGATTCCAAGAATTCAGGGATTTTCAGCACAACGTCGCCAGTTTACTTGTCCCGCCCGTGAGAATAGACGACGGCATATGGTACAAATTAAGTACCTCGATCGTGCTGGCAAGTCATTCAATGAAGAATGAACTGGAGGAATATATTGACAACAAATTTCACTCTCCCGAAATAGAAAATCTAGCCCAGAGCATAGATCCAATGGAGGGGTCACCTAGAATCCCAGGCTCTATATGGCATAATGGATTCTCTCTTTAAGGTCCAGAAGCCAGACACACAGCCTCGCCGTTGGTTGATTGGACGATATCATAGGGCAATAGCGCATTATCCCACCTCTCACCGCCAATCATACTGCGCAAATTCAATTGCGAATGATGTAGTTCAATTAATAGGCGATAAAAGACTGGGAATGAGATCGCCGATGATGGCCGTTGGAGGTCTCGGAGTGATGCGATCAATCTGATGTCACCGATGTCCTTGACGTCAGGTCCAATGTTTCATCATCCACCAGCGACAGACAAGGCTGAGATCGGCCATAGGGACGAATATTTACCACTCTCCATCCTCATCGCTAATCCATGATTGAAATATCAATACACTTCTCCCAGACTTCGCATATAGCGCTATTGCAACCACAGAAATGAACGCCATTAAACGCTACACGCTTCCATCACTTGGGACAGCCCCATCCCGAGTCCTCGCCGGCCACCATCGCCTCCTTGCCAATCACTCGCAGCGTCGCTTCCAGAGCGCGAACGAGGCTCTCGACCCGCTGAGTGAAAAGTCCGTCAAGGGCCGGACAGGCGGCGGCAAGAAACTCAACTCATCTTCCCCCAACGCTCCGCCCAAGCCCAAGGTCTCGAACCTCAGCATGCCCGCCATCGACAAAGAGACGCATCTGACCGACGAGCAGAGAGCCGAGGTGGAAGAACACAATCGCGACTTTGACAAGAAGCACGATCGTGCATCCCCGGCACCAAACGACGAGGTGGACAAGGGGTTTTGGTCGGGCGAGGTTGGCCGGCAGACCGTCAGAAAATAATACCTACTATGACTAATGGCAGGTCTTGGGAATGGCCATCTCCTCGTTCTCTTGTTGTGTCGCCGTTGTGCTGCGCTTCTCGTTTTCGTTATCGCTAGTCGTTCTCGTTCCTCGTTTATAGCCCGATCGTCTTCAAATGCCTCCATACGGACAGGTTATGCATAAACACCCACATCCAGAAAAAGCATCGTCGCAACCAATCAGCCACTGCCGGCACTTGACCTACCCCAGCCCGTGAGAGCTTCGGTACGACCCTGTCGACATTTGAACTAACACAAACAGCATAACTCCGACCCTCAACTTCTCCACATTCTGTCCTCGTGAAAGGTGCCGCGGTGCCACAACTCAAGGGTGGCATCCTTCCACAGCACAGGAGCCCATTTCCAGCGAATGAAGCTTCGGGCAAGGGGTTGTAAGCCTGCGTTAAACCCCCGAGATACGGTCGGGGTCGGGCTTCATATAAATGCCAGGTGGTCATCGCAGGAAAAACTGCGTCTGTGCTCCCCCGCCATCATCCATGCAAGCGATCTCGGCTGTACATTACTATGATGTAGTGAATATATATAAGAACCTGGTCGTGGTTCCCTTCACCTTCTAACTGTGTCGTCCCTTGTCTCTAAATAAACCAGACAGGAAAGAATATTGAACAAAACTTCATAACTTCCAAAGAATTGATCAGCAATCAAAGCCATTAAGAAGCTCAAGAAACAGAGAAGCCGCCTCCAAAACCTTGCAATCTATAGAACGGCATGTCTTGAGCTCCCTCCAGAAGACTTCCAGCTTCCTGTACTAACCTCCACCAAGATGACTGTCCATCACAGCTCGGTCCCCGACTATGACGACCTCCCAAAGGTCGAAAACATGCCGCAGGGCTATGTCTGGGGCCTCTTCGACAAAGACGGCAAAAAAGACCTCCTCGGCACTCTCAACTTCCTCACCCCGGACATCGTGCAAGCGGCGGCCGCCGAGGTCAAGGACGGCATCTCCGTCTCCCTCAAGTAAGCCATATCAATCCCCCTAATATCATCATCCAGTTTCTCACACCTCCCCGCAGCTGGTCCCTCACCGGCATGGGCAAGATCGACGTGCCCGGCCGCAGGCGCGCCGAGCACAAGTTCCTCTACAACCCCGACTCCATGGGCTTCGCCGTCGGCGAGAGCTGGGACGACGAGCTGTCCATCAACACCCAGAACAGCAGCCAGTGGGACAGCCTCTGCCACTTCGCCCACCAGTCCACCGCCCAGGTCTACAACGGCTTCCGCCTCACGCACGACGTCCTCGCAGCCGCGGTTGCCCCCTCCAGCGACTCCCCCGTCCCGACCCTCGACCACTGGCACCCCCACGGCGGCCTCGTCGCCCGCGGCGTCCTCATCGACTACATGGCCTACGCCGAGGACAAGGGAATTCCCTACCACCCGTTCGCGGGGACGCGCATCGGACCCGTAGACATGGACGCCTGCGCGGCCCACCAGGGCGTCGAGTTCCGCCCGGGAGACGTCCTCATCGTGCGCACGGGCATGACCGAGGTCTTCGACGCCCTGACGCCCGAGCAGCTGCGCGCGGCCGGCGAGGTCGACACCGTCACCATGTCCGGCGTGCACGGCTCCGTGGAGACGGCGAGGTGGATCTGGAACCATCGCTTCGTCGCCGTCGCGAGCGACAACAACTCGGTCGAGGCGCTGCCCCCGCTCAAGGCCGACGGTTCGCCCGGCGGCTTCGACGAGCTCGGTATGTCTCCCCTTTCCCCTACCTTAAGAGAACACCTGGCTTCTTCCAATCCCTCGAGGCTATCCAACTCTTCCCTAACCCGCTACTATGCCAAAGCAATGCTGACCATACGAACCTGGGGGAAACAGTCCTCCACCCCCTCCTCCTGTGCGGCTTCGGCATGCCCCTCGGCGAGCTGTGGGATCTGAGCCGGCTGTCCAAGCTCTGCAGGGAGAAGAAGCGCTACTCCTTCATGGTCACCTCCGTGCCGCTCAACCACCCAGGCCTCATTGGATCGCCCCCAAACGCTCTGGCCATTCTATAAACGAATTGCCGGTGAACTGGTTTGGGATAAGCACGGGATCGGCTGGTGGGAAAGGGAGGGAGGAGGGCCGATGGGGGTGGCGATCATCCCGCGCTTGATGAGGTGAGGCAGCGCTCGACATGATCGCAGCGATGTCCGCGCGATAAAAATAACATAATTGAAAAGGAAAGAATTGCGAAGATAAAAACTGCCCCCATGTTGTGTAAAGAAAGAAAGAAAGGAAAAGAAAACCGTGGCTTCGTGTTTGTGAGACGGCAGGTGGTAGAAGGAATGTGGGAGAAGGAAAACATGTATCCCGGAGCAAGGGTCTCGGACACTCGTCAGATCAGGACTAGGCAGGAACACAAGAGGAGTGTACACTCTGACGAGAGCCTAGTTAAAATAAACACCCATGGATTGCTCCTGTCTCGGCCGAGAGCTGCCAAGAATATGTGTAACCAAGCATAAGTGTGCGAGCGGGTGAGTCAATGTCTGTGGCTCAACATACGAGCCGAAGTAATCACCGTATTTGACGTCCTCTATTCTCACTAATGCTGTACATCATCATCTCGGAATGAAACCGTCGGCACAATTTTTAGAAGACGTATGACCGACGGCAGATCGATTACACAGGCAAGCTCACTACAGCCCATCATGAAAGCAAGGGGGGCTGGGAGGGGGCCACGAATGCGACGGTGGCTTGGCTGCTTCAAACCAGTTCGACCGAATTCGCCATTCTGAAACATCGCCAGTGGTTTGTTTTGTTTTGCTGGCAACAGGGGCCCCGGGGAGCGGGAAGGATGGCAGAGCCTCGTTTGGCCGTCAGATCGGTACTTGCATATAAGCATCTCACCTCACCTACGACCGGATGGGTAAGAATAGGACTGACGGTTGCAATGGCCGTACTGACGTGCAGGACGGCACAGCACAGCCTCCCGTGTATTATTAATAAGTGCCCCTGTATATGCACCCTTCCCTCGCCAGATCAGATGGTTCCTTGCCGCCAAAAGTCATGGTTGCCTTGCCGAACCATCTTGGCGCGCGCTTGGGTGCATGATAAGGCTGGACGTGTCTCAGAGGTCGAGCTGGTTCATTGGCCTGTTCCAACAATAGACTCACCGCGCCCCCAGGTGCTGGTCTCTGCATTGTCTGCGATCATCTTGTTTTTCATGTGATTCTTACACGAGCAGCCGGCTGTATCACCACGGAGCCAGCCCAGCCCTCAGTTATCCCCGTTCTGTCCGTTCATCGTACATAGCCGCCGCCTGCCAGCTGCAGGTATCACGCACAACACACGAATAGACAGGGATAAAATCTCCCCCCAAGCCGATAAGGTGACAATGCACCTGGACACACCAACCCGCTCTAACTTTCCCAAAGAGGATTTATTTGATGCCAAATGAGGCGCACGTGGGGGTTGGGGGCCAGGCGAGATCGAATCCCACCGTGAGAGCAAGTGAATGAGTCAATGGCCGGCCACGCACCCTCTTTATTTGGGTGTCTCTTGATTCGTGGAGCGAAATGCGGTGTGTGCTAAGCAGACGGATAATCAAACTGTTATGACGAAGTGCCCCCATGTCTCTCCTCTCTCGGAACCTTTCCACTCCCCCCCCCCCTTTTCCCCAAGGCGAATCGACCTCCAGCCCAGCACGAGCCCAGGGGACCCAGAGGGGCCAGATGGGTCAAATCATGTCTGCCGGTAGATCTCAAACATGGCTCCCCTTCATCCCGGATACTGGCCACTCAGCGTTCCAAGACACCAGCCTCCGACCAGAAACATCCGCGCCCCCTCGTAATATTCATTCCCCAGTATCGGTCCATTAAACCGTACTAGAAGATGAGCCGAATGAAGTTGAAACTTCAATTGATATCTTCATATCAACCGTCGGCCATGTTACCAGAGCTGCACCTCAGCCCGAGATGGGGGATTCCAATGGAGGCTGCCTTCGAGCCGGACGGGCGCCCAAAATAAACCAGTTGCCCGAGGACCAGAAGACGAAGAGGCGAACAGGTGTGCAGGGAACTTTTGGCGTGCGCGTTTCCAAGATTAATCATAAGCATGAATTCACGATGGGCGAGACTCCAACTCCAGTTAGTGGTATACCTCCCGTCTGGGGCTGACACCGGGTCAGGCTCCGGAAAGCCACATTGCACAGAGGCCCCCCCCAAAAAAAGGGAATGGCCAGGGTAGGTAGGATTCTGTGGCTTTTCTGGCACGATCGCGCAGTCGTTGCTGCGATGGAACGAACCGAGCCTTGCGTGCTGCGTGCGATCCGCCACCTCCACAATCACCAGAAGGTAGTGAAAACGCCCGGACTGTTTTAGGAAACTCCAGCGAGCAAATTCAAGTCGGCCCAGCGAAGCATTATCCCCCCTTCCTGGGCTAGCATCCAAGGTTCCGCCGAATAGGCTGCTACCGGGCGGCAGTGCCACCTGCAACGGGCACGCACCCCTTGATGTCTACAAGAAGATCAACTCCAGACACGGGCACACGAGGCCCTAAAGCCGATCAATCCCTGTGCCATGCGGGCTTAGGGCCGGCCGGGCTGTAGAATCCACGGCCGCGGGTGTGAGATGGGCCATAGATTTCCAAGTTATGGTGTGCACAAGCCAACTGCATGATCACCGATCATCCGCCGTCGTGATATGGATACGTAGGCAGACGCTGCACGCTGCGGAGAAACCAGCCATAGTTCAGCTCGGCCGTAGCGGTGAGCTTGCTGTGAGCTGCGCAGATTTGATGGTTAAACATGCATTCGCTGGTACCACACCTCGTTGCGAGAAGGGAGGAGTGGGGTGGGGATCGTCCCATTTGAGGTCTTGGAAGAGCCGAATGAGGGGCTGCATCCATACGGCGCATGTCTTTTATTCCTCCCGCGCGACAGAAGCTGAACTGGACTGGGGGCCGGAGGGTTGCAGCGACAAGCGGCGCCATAAGGCTGTTGTTGGCCGTTCCATGGACCCAGGAGCGGTGACGAAACTGCGACGCCCGAAGGCTCTCTCGACCAGCGAATCACGATGGAACCCATCGCATACGTCTCCCCGTCACAGCAGGCAGACAAGACCATGTATGCATACCGACTGCCATATCCAGCTGCTTCTGCATCTGTAGTGCTGCAGGCTGCCAGGCAACCAGGTAAGAAGCACACAGGCATGCTGATAGTAGATATTCCTGTCCATGACAAAGATAGGATGCATGGCGTTGGATCCCAGTGCTTATGTGATGTTTCTCTGGGCCCTCAGTCGATCCAAGACAGCCCTCCGCAATTGGAGCCAGGGGCAGAGACTCAAACCACTCGGCGCCTAGCACACCCGCTACTTGGCTACGTCGATCGTAAATCGTAGGGCCACCCAATCGCTCTGCCTTGTTCCAGCCACCGAGCTGAGGACACGCCTCATGGAGGGGAGGGATACCACCATCAGAAGGACAGGACGTATGTACTCCCACTCCCAGGCCAATGCCGTACAGCGTGGACCTCACCCCCGGGACTTGTTTCCAAATCGAGTGACACACTGTTGCGGACATCGAACTCCATCCGACAAAAATAAATCTCATGTACGCCATTGAGAATGCCGATGCGGCTGCTCTGCGCGGATCGGCCATAATGGTGAGAAACTGCCCGCAGCCTCCAAAGAGCCGCTGGTGTATAAATTACCATGGCTGCCCAGCAAGCAAGCTCATGTTGGTTCTGTCTAGGCTAAGAGCCATTCACCCTTTCTTTCTCCAGAAACTGCGAATACCAACCGACACTCTCGTCCACGAAGCCGTGTCTTTCTATCGCCCAACTCACGACACCCGCAACCATGTCTTCAAACAACCCGAGTTACTTCAAGGTTCCTCGTGGGAACTACTCGTTCTCCTACACTGATCCGGCCGGCTCCAGTAGGCTTAACGACTGGCTGCAGGAAGACAGCAAGGACATGCCATGGCATAACATTGGATCGTTGCCAGTTCCCACAGGTAACAACCAGACGACCCCAGCCTCTGGAGGTTCGACAGGCGCCAATGCCAACCAAGGAAGTGGCAACACGGCCAAATGAACGCGGTGCTGCTGACTCTCGAGAGAGGTAAGCCCCCATCGTTTCGGTGATCTCTGACCCAACACCCACTAACGTCGATTCCCCAGAAAGTTGATCAAATAGTCTTGTCGTATGACTAAGACTCGTGATACACTAGCATCGATCCCCCGAGAAAGACGAGCAAAAGATGTTGGATTGTCCGAGGACAAAACATGTGTATTGGATGTACCAAGACTGTACTTGGGGTGGCCTATTGAAATTAGTGTTTGGGACACAAAATAGATGGTAGAGTACGGGTATGGAGTATTGGGAGTATCGAGTGTTCAGCGAAAATATGAAAAATGGGATCATACAAGGATTTCCTTGTCAAATACAATCTAGCGTGATGTTGTTTGTTCATCATGAACTCATTTCGGGGCCCGTGTAGAAAAAGCATAATACGTACCATGAAATCCCCGACCAGCAGGGTTCAATAAGAGCCTCATTCCCGCATAAAATTGGGTCTATCAGGAGTAGAATAGTTCATCTGGGTTGGTGCCGACGCTCATAACCCAGAAGATCGATCCATGCCAGCGATCGCCCCGATCCCGTTCCGCACGTAGTCTACAAGCGCCTTGACCATGCCCTGGGGCTTCCCCTTGCCGTCAGGTCCGCGCACCGGCTCAGTGCCCATCGTAGGGAGAACGTTGTCGCCGGCGGACAAGCTCACGAACAGCGAGAATGGAACCAGCCACACACACAGCCCGAAATAGGACGCAATCATGGTGAAACTCGGGACATCGACGTCTTGGTAGTAGGCAGATCGCTGGTAGCTTCTGGATTGGCTGCCGGAGAAGTACTTGAACCACACGTAATGGTCACTTAGCACAAGCACTGTTGCCGAATATCTGGTTAGCGAGACTCGCGCCAAAAGGGGGAGCCCCAGGGCCAAGCCAATTCTTACCACACGACAGCAGGAACAGGGGGTCCGAGAGCTTGACGAAGGGGAACCTCCGCATGTTGCCCAAGTAGATGACGTGCGAAAACACGCCGAGCAGAGTCGGCCAGAAAGGAAAGCCGTCCAGCAGCCAGAGAAGTAGCTGAGCTCCGATTATAGTGTAGATGAGTTTCGTCAGGAATCGCTTCGCCAGCACGGTGTGCTCCTCAACCAGCTCGGAAAGATAGTACAGGCCGGACGCGATGGCCATGGTGAGGAAGCAGAAACCGAGAATGGACCCGGCATAGCCGACCAGTGGTAAAATCCACATCTTGGCTGCTTAATTGTTGGAAAGGAAGTCGTCGCAAAGGAAAAGTACGATCAATGTCGCATGCTGCAATGGCAGAGATTGCTCCTCCGACGGGGGATGGAGAAAAATAATGCTATTGGAACTCGGGCCAACTGCTGAGGACACGTTCTTCTGGATAACTTACTAACTTACAAAGGAGCATTAGACTCTGTTGATGGCAAGCTAAGCTAATGGCGTGGTCCGGGATATATAAACGCCGATCCGCGCCTTCAGCGCTTGCATCCAGTCTTTCGGTCGTGCTTATCGATAACCCACAAAAAAAACGGCGTCTGAATTGACTCCAACACACACCAACAGCTTGACCGCTGTATATTGATCCAAGATCCGTTCGCTTGAGCCCAATTAAGACGAGGCAAATTGGCCCAAGAGCTCTGTTGTTATACTGTTCAAACCCTCCAACCGAAACAGCACGCTGCCAATTCCGCCATCATGTCTCGTCCCGAGGATTCTCTGTACGCACCTCCTCAACCCCGCGCTCCCTCCCTCCCTCACCCAACTAACATCTAACCACCTCCCAGCGCGGCCGACGTCTACTACGACGACTCCGAAGCCCGCAAATACACCACCAACTCCCGCATCCAAAACATCCAGGCCTCCATGACCCGCCGCGCCCTCGAGCTCCTCGACCTCCCCCACCCCTCCCTCATCCTAGACGTCGGCTGCGGGTCCGGCCTGTCAGGCGAGATCCTCTCCGCTTTGAGTCCTGAAGAAAAGGGCCCCCACGTCTGGGTAGGCATGGACGTCTCCCCCAGCATGCTCGACGTCGCCCTCCAGCGCGACGTCGAGGGCGACCTCCTCCTCGCCGACATCGGCCAGGGCGTCCCCTTCCGCGCGGGCAGCTTCGACGCCGCCATCTCCATCTCCGCCATCCAGTGGCTCTGCAGCGCCGAGAGCAGCGACACGTCCCCCGCGGGGAGGCTGTCCCGCTTCTTCAACGGGCTCTACGCCTCGCTCAAGAGGGGCGGGCGGGCGGTATGCCAGTTCTACCCGAAAAACGACCAGCAGAAGAAGATGATCACCGAGGCGGCCGTCAAGGCCGGGTTCGGGGCGGGCCTGCTCGAGGACGACCCGGGGACCAAGAACGTCAAGCTCTACCTTGTCCTTACCGTCGGCGGCACCACGAGCGAAGGGAAGGGCGACATTACCGGCGTCGTCGAGGGCATGGAGGGCGTGGACGTCATGGACATCCGCAGGAAGCCAAGTAACCTCGGCGGCGGGCCGATGAAGAAGGGCAGCAAGGCTTGGATCATGCAGCAGAAGGGACGAATGGAGCGCAAGGGCCGCATCGTCAAGGCAACGTCCAAATACACCGGCAGGAAGAGACGACCAGTCTTTTAAAAAGCGTAAAGAGCACAGTCCTAGAAGTCAAAAGTGGGGTTCATGGTACGGCGTTGGGAGTTTTATTAGAACTAGATCAATCTTTTTTTCCGATACCCGATATGAAATATATGCGCCTCAAGAGGTGCCATTCAATCAATTCCAGTGATCACTCCAAATTCAGGGGATATCGCGAAAACAAATGCCCCATGATGGCTGGTTAGAAGGCAACCCATAAGTTCGTCATTTTATCGTCAAGATCTCTACTCTATCTAGTTATCTTGCTCGGGCTTCATGGTAGGGAAGGCCAAGACTTCTCTAATACTCCAGTTGTCGGTCAAGAACATGATGAGACGGTCGATACCCATTCCAAATCCACCGGTAGGGGGCAAACCGTGCTCGAGAGCCCTACAGAAGGTCTCGTCAACGCCCTGGGCCTCGTCGTCACCCTGTGCCTTCTGGTTGGCCTGCTCCTCGAAGCGCAGACGCTGCTCAGAAGCAACGTTCAACTCAGTGTAGCTAAGGTTGCCAGTTAGTATACAAAATAAGTCACAAGGGTCTCGGGGAAACTTACGCATTGATGATTTCCTTGGTAGCGACGAAAACTTCGAATCGCTCGCAAAGGCCGGGGTTGGAGCGAGACTGCTTAGCCAGAGGCGACATCATCTGGGGGTGGCCAACGATGAAGGTGGGGTTGGTCTAGAAGGGTACCGTCAGTTGCACGATCTCCTGGTGAGTCATGTTCTTCCCACGTTACTTACAGCCTGTGACTCAAGGAAGTGGCCAACGAGAGCGTCGAGCATACGAGCGTTGGTCAAGGGAGCGCTGCACTCAACGCCAGTCTTCTTGAGAACGTTCTTGAAGAACTCGCCAGACTCGGCGGTGTGGAGGTCCTCTGCGGGAGGGAACTTCTCTCCTGTGAGCTCCTCAAGGGTGGGGATCATGTCGATGCGCTTCCAGGGAGCCGCCCAGTTGATCTTGATCTCCTCACCCTTGGCAGTGTGGTAGGTAGTCTCGTAGCTACCGTGGATGTGCTTGACGAGGCCAGAGACAAGCTCCTCAGCCATGCCCATGAGATCGAACATATCGGCATAAGCCATATAGAATTCAAGGGTAGTGAACTCTGCCAACAGTTAGCCTTGCCCCTCGTCGGGTCAAATGAGCGCGTCACATGCCTGGGTTGTGAGTAAGATCCATGCCCTCGTTACGGAACTGACGTCCGATTTCGTACACACGGTTAAGACCACCGACAGTAAGCATCTTGAGGTAGAGCTCAGGGGCAATACGCAAGAACATGTCCATGTTCAGCTCGTTGTGGTGGGTGATGAAGGGCCGGGCGGTAGCACCACCGGCAATGGTGTTAAGCATGGGGGTCTGGACAGCAACGAAGTCACGGTCATCAAACCATCTTCGGATGTAAGTGTCAACCTTGGCACGGGTGATGAGGACATTGCGGGCCTTGTCGTTCATGATGAGATCCAGGTAGCGCTGGCGGAAACGCTGCTCAGAGTTCTTGAAACCATAGAAGTCATCAGGAATCTACAGGCAGAGACAGGTCAGCAAGACAATGAAACCTAGATGGAGGGGAGACGAGTAGAATAATACCTGGTGCAAGCAAGGAGACAGGAGCGTGACTTCAAAAGCGCCGATAGACAGCTCGCCAGAGAATTCACCCTCGCCCTGCTTCTTGGCGGGGTTGGTACGGGTTGGGAAACCACGAACACCGACGATATCTCCGCGGCGAAGGTTCACATGCTGCTCCTCGAAGGGAGGAGCCTTGTCATCGGCGAAATCAGCCTGGGCAAGGACCTGGAGCCTAGTGCCCTCGTTTCGAAGGTCGTAGAAGACGAGCTTGCTACCGGAGGAGCGCTTGACATAGATACGACCAGCCAGCTGGATCGTCTTGCTCTTGTCGCTCTCACCGTTCTTGAGGTGGGAGAAGTCCTTGGCGAAATTGCGGATATCATAATCGACATTGAACTGATAATTCCAGTCAGGTAACAGACACACAACATTGGCCAGCGACTTTAGGTACGAACCTTGTGGGGGTAGGCCTTGCCCTGGGCGTGGAGGTCGCTGACCACTCTTGACCTGATCTCGAAGTACTGTGCAACTGTAAGTGGACGTGAAATACAAGCGATGGAATCCTCACAGGGATGCTCGCTACACACCTGGTTGGGGGAGAGGTCCTTCTCCTTGGCCTCAGCGGACTTCTTGCTCTCCTGGGCAGGGCCCTTGGCGGCCTCCTTCTGCTTCTTGGCAGCCTCCCTCTCGCGGGCCTTGTTACGCTTCTTGAGCTCGGTCTTGGAGACCATCTCGCCAGTAACGTCGTCGAGGTGGAGGTTGGCGACGGCCTCAGCTGCCTGCTCGGCAGGTGCTTGCGAGTTGTCGGGCATGGTGTTTGCGGTCAATCAGTCCAGAACAATGTGTATTTTGTGAAAATATTGGAATCGCAGGGTCGGCCGAGGAATTGGCAGCGCCGACGTGGGGTTGGTGTATCGTGCGGTTGTTGATACGGGACCAAGGTGGGAGGAGCAGAAGAAAAATAAAGGCACCACAGCCTGAGTCAGAGCTGCAGTTTCGACTCACACAAGAACTTCCTTGCGGTCGCGGGGTGAAAAGGCTGATCGCAAAGTTGGACCCCGCCATCACTTCCAAAAGGTACGTACCGCGGGGTAGTCGACCTACCCTATTGCTGGCCATTCTATGCAGCACACCGAAATAACCCTCCGCGTCGAACATAGAATTATAATTTACAGAATAAGTATTCATAGATTGAGATCTGCAAATAAATGGAAAATTGTCACCTCAAATTTTAACTCGATACTGCAAGAACTATTCTGGCACTGTTGAGGAATGCAATGCCCTCATACTCACTGTGCCGTAGCTGGTGAATAATTTGGACTCTCATATGTTAACCAGAACAAGTACTCTCTTCTACGATCACGATCACTTAAAGGCCAGTTTGTGCATCGCCGAACGGTAAACCATTATGCTCTATTGAACGCAGTGGATTTAAATGTAGTCGCACCCGGACTTGGTCCGTTATTGAAAAAAAGAGCTCATTGCGAACTGCAAGCCGCGTCATTATGTCTCAGCAGTTCCATGGTTCCGTCTCATCCTTTGAGAAAAGTACGAGCACCAATCACCAACCATCGCCAGACGGCGACACGATCGGTCTCGAAGCGTGCACCATCTTTGTTCACTTTCTACCAAATGCGCATGCGCTTAAAATAACGGGAAATGCTTCTTGATATGCTTTTTAACTTTAACAAATAAACGAGTAAATGCTAGACGTACAATTCGTCCTCTTGTCTCTTCCCAACCCTGTGGTTAACTGCCCGTCATCACTCAACTCCTGATCCCTCTTGTGTCTCATATCTCCCCGTTCCGGCCCAATTGCAAAGCAGCACGGGGCTTGTCTATGCCAATGTCCTCCAGAAGCGTTGCCGCTACCACTGTCTTGCCATAAACGATACTGTGTCCATGGCCCTTTGAAAGTATGATGTATAAAAATTTGAGGATAGTGTCATCTTACTCGATGACAATGAGGTTGACCAAGAGAGTACGGTAGGGTATAAAATCGAGGTTCTTGCAGTCTATATGTGGGTTTCATGGTTTCTTGGTGATTTTCATTGATGGAGTCGTTTACAGAGTCTCCAACTTGTCGAGGATGGCGCGGGTGAACTCGTGGGTGGTGGACTGGCCGCCCATGTCGGGGGTGCGGACCTTGCTGTTCGGACGTTAGTCTCCATTTCTCACACCAAAAAAATAAATTTGACTCTAGGATTAGATGTAGACTTACCCCTCGGCGATGACGGCGTAGGTGGCCTTGGAGATGCGGTTAGCATGGTCGTCAAGACCAAGGTGGCGGAGGAGCATGGTTCCGCTGAGGAGAAGAGCAGTGGGGTTGGCCTGATCCTTGCCCTGGATGTCGAGACCGACGTGACGGCAGCCGGGCTCGAAAACGGCGACCTCGCGACCCATGTTGCAGCCGGGGACGATACCGGGTCCACCAACAAGGGCAGCACCAATGTTGGACAGGATACCACCGTACAGGTTAGGCATGACCATGACGTCGAACTGCTGGGGCTTGGAGACAGCCTGCATACTGGCGTTGTCGACAATCATGTCGTTGACCTCGAGGGTGGGGTAGTCCTTGGCAACAGCGTGGAAGGTGTTGCGGAAGAGACCATCGGCCAGCTTCATGATGTTGGCCTTGTGGATGCAAGTGACCTTGCTGCGGTTGTTGGCGAGAGCGAAGGCGAAGGCGAACTTGGCAATGCGCTCAGACTTGGCACGGGTGATGATCTTGAGAGACTCGACGACGCCGGGGACGCTCTGGTGCTCGAGACCAGAGTACTCACCCTCGGTGTTCTCACGGATGATGCACAGGTCGACGTCCTTGTGGCGGGTCTGGTAGCCGGGGATGTTCTTGATCAGGGAGATGCTGGCGTAGATGTCGAGCTCCTGGCGCAAGGCGACGTTGAAGCTCTGGTGGCCGGAGCGCTCGATGGGGGTGTGGAGGATACCCTTGAGGCCGAGCTTGTTGCGCTTGAGGGAGGCGACGCTCTCGCGGAAAGCAGCCTGGGCGTTGCTGGCATCCTGGATACCGGAGACGGCGACCTGCTCCCACTCAATGGGGGCATTGTCGGCCTTGAAGATGGTCTTGACCGACTCGGAGACCTCGCCACCAATACCGTCACCGGGGATGAGGGTGACGGTGTACTTGCTGCCGAACTTGGAGGGCTTGAAGATGTCGGACTGGACGGTCGCGAAGCCTCGGGCGGCGAGAGGCTGCTGGGTGGCGGCAGCGCGGAGGGCCTGTGTAAGAAAATCAATTGTTAACGTTGGTCCTCGGTGATGCCATCATGTGTGCGTGTTTCGCCTAAACTACAACTCTTCCAATTGTGTGCGCGTCATTTGTCGTGAAGCCGACGCCTCGTCTCCAGCCATTCCGGGCAAACAGACAAGCATGTGAAGGGAAGCTAGGGAGGGCCACTAACCTGCGCCGTTCTAAGAGATCCACGGGACATCATGTTGGGCAGAGTGCGGGATAGACACGGAGAGGGGAGAGGGATCCAGTTGGCAAGCACAAACGACAAAAAAGAAAGCAAAGCAGGCTGCTAGGAGGACAGAGGTGAAGAAGGTTAGAAGGGGAAAAGAAAAAAACAAGGTGTGCTTAGAGTTTCTACTGGGCAAATGCCGCAGGGACAGGTTCCTGCCGAACGAGGCAATGATGGAGCCTGTAACACTGGGGAACAGGCGCTTTGCCGAGCACTTGCCACTGCTGGAGGCGCCGGCCACCTCGTAACAGCGGGCGGAAAGCGACTCTTCGGCCGAGCACCTGAAAACTCTGGACTGTGCGCCCAGTTGGGTCTAGCGGCATCAGATACGGCCCACCATGCCATCATGATCCTTGATTAGCACATGAACCAGCATCTGTAAGTTTTTCTAGAAACGCTCCATTGCTCCAATGCATCACAGAAGTGTCCCTGCCTGCATTGTTGCTTTGCTGCACAACAGCCCACACGGCATGCAGCATGCTTCGATAAAGCAGTGCAACCTTAAGCAATCCAGGCTACAGTCACTTCTCATTCCAAATCACTCAATCTCATCTACGCTGTCATGTTCTTTGGCGCTCGAGTACATTCCTCATTCTCAGCCTTCTAGTATGTATATGAAAAGCTAAAAATAACCACATGCCAGAGTTTCCTCGTGCACCAAGAGCCAAAAAAAAAAAAAAAAACTCCCAAGAGAGCAGCAACACATCCGGTTTTCCCTCCCCCCCCAATTGATTTCCATGCCTGATTCCGTACCTCCAAACTTGTAACAGAAAAAAGAAAAATAGAATAAAGAGACAACAACAGTGAGCGGTCGTGGTGCCTTGCGCTGGGCTTCGCTCTTTTGGTCTGCCGTGGCAGCGACTCTCTTCCAGGCAGCCTCTTTGTCTAGACGCCTTGTATCATGATAGTAATGAAAAAGAAGAAGAAAAAAAAGAACATAAAAAGACAAATGAAAATTAGAAAAACTCCAATCGCTTGCCGTCTCTATAATGCTTGCACCTCTTCCTCATCCAGCGGCTCTACCCGCACCAAAATCTCCTCTAGCAACCCCTCCAGGAAGCTGTTGACCTCCCTTCCCATGCCGACAGGCTCTTGCTTGTCATAGTGGTCAATCTCCTTGCACACATGTGCAAGCTTGAACACCAGGTTGCGCAGGCGTTCGTGAGCCGCTTCCGCACGTTGCTGCTGAGGCGTCAACACCTGGTTCATTCCCGGCTTGCAAACCTGCTGCAGCCGGATCTGGCGCCGCTTCAGAGCCTCCTCCAGAGCTGGGAAGATCACATCGTTCAGAGCGTCCAGCTCCCCGTTAGGATTAGCTGGTGCAGGCGCTGGGAAAGCGGATGGAGCCATCAACTCTGGCGGCACGGGGCTAGCAGCCTTGGATGGCAGAGGCAGTGGCTTCTGCGCATTCATTCCACGATCTGAAGGTGTTCGTGGCTGCTGTCCCGAAGGAGCGCCTCTGTATGGAGGGATCTCGGGAATTTCAAGTGGTGACATTCTCGAGCTTGACAGCTGAGGCTGTGGTTGATGGGGTGGTGGCGTGGGTGCTTTCGAGAACGAGCCGTCCAACATGTCTGGCGGCATCGATGGTGCCAGGTTCAGGTTCAGCCCGCCCATATCGCGCTGAAGCTGCGCCTGCAACTCACGGTCATACTCCGACGACTGGGGGCTGGGTGCCGTGGGTAAATACCTAGGTGGCCGCGGTGTCGTCTCCAGAGGTCGGGGCACATCGGCTGGATCCCATCCGTGGTGCTGCTTCTGCGGGCTGGACGGGAGAGGGACCCTCGTTGGGGAACCAGGCACTGCGAGCTGTCCTCCTGCGACAGGTTTCCGTTGCGGGCTCGACTGTCGCGACGTGCCACTAGAATAGGCCGCCTTGACGGTGTCGCTCGACTGGAGAGCAAAGTCCTTGTTCTTGGTCGGGCTAACCTCTCGTCTCCTTTCACCCCAATCGCTCATGCTGTCCGTTGACCTCGACGCGCGGGCATTGGCGGAACTTTCGTCCATAGCATTTAGACCCGGCCGGTTTACGAAGCCGCCCTTATCGCCAACCAACCTAACGGTTCCAAAGTCCCACATGTCGTCGTTCACCTTTTCCGGTTCGACGGGAGCCGGCCCATCGTATTCGTCAAAGTTGTCGTCTTCGGATCTGTTGGTTGCACGCCAGCGAGTGTACCGCTCGATCAGCTCCGTGAGATATGTTGTCTTCTTCGCCCTTCTGATAAAAGGGTGTTTGAGGAGATCCTTCGCAGTGGGTCTTTCCTTGGGATCACGCTGCAGGCAGACCTCAATAAAGTCCTTGAAAGCCTTGGTGAAGTTTCCCTCGAGCCTGGGCGGAGGGTTCTTGGGGATCAGAAAGAGAACCTTCATGGGATGAATGTCGGCATATGGAGGCTCGCCATTGGCAAGCTCCAGGGCGGTGATTCCAAGAGACCAGATATCAGCCTTGTGATCATATCCTGACTGCTTGATCACCTCGGGGGCCATCCAAAAGGGAGTGCCGACAAATGTGTTCTTCTTCGTCATGGTCGCTGAGAGCTGGCCGGAAACACCGAAATCTGCCAGCTTGACCTGACCACTGGCGGTGAGGAGCACATTGGCAGCTGGAGGTCTTGTTAGCTAAAATAAGAGAAACCACGAGGGCAACCGGGACCTCCCCCTTCCTTACCTTTGACATCTCGATGTAGTTTCTTGTCGGAGTGTAGATATTCGAGACCAAGAAGCAGCTCACGGACGATGATGGCAATATAATCCTCGCCAATGATCCCAGGCTTCATCAGGTCGGCACAGCTTCCACCAGAGCAAAACTCCATGACAATCCAGAGCTCTGCACCTTTGGCATAGGAGCCATAGTACTTAGTTACGTAGGGAGACTGTAGTTCTGAAAGAATGGCAATCTCCTGGATAATGTCCTCGACCTCGTCTTCGGCGCTTTCGATATCGATAACCTTGATGGCAACTGCCTCGCCCGTTCGCTTGTCCACACTGATTGAAAGCAGTAAGTTAGCACAGGAGTGATAAGAATAGGTGATCAAGTAGAACTCTGATCACAAGAGGGGTGAAGTGATGGGTTCCTGAGCGTACCCTTTGTAAACCTTTCCAAAGCTACCGCCTCCTACAAACAACGGGGTCAGTCACTCAAGCTCGTCCACCAGGCACAGGCTCTCCCAAAGGTGACCAACCAATGCAATACTCCTTGGAGAACAGGAGCTCCGGGTCCAAGGCCTCATTGCCCTCCTCCACACGGTCTCGCTCCGCCATGATTGGTCTTCTGGGTGCTTTTTTGGCGCCGGTACCGTTCGTTTCTCTTCGAGGGAGGGAGGGGCCACGTTCGCTGCGGTCTCGAGGTGGCCTGGTGGTCGCCGGGTGTCCTGCAGGACAGGGTGAGGACAGAGGGGGGTGGTGTGCTACTTGAGGATCTTGGGAGAGATCAGAGCATCCACCAATTGTTGTTCTGGCCGGTTGTCTGGCGGCCTGGAGGGTCGTTTGGAGGTCGTGAAGTAAGGTAAGGTAGGTGCTTAGCCAGGGTGGCGGTGAACCCCACCAAATCCGAGTCCAGGATGATGCAGGTAGCTTAGCTCGCTCGCATCAGCCTCCAAACCCGGCAGGCTATTCGGTCAGGATAGCTTTGGGGAATAATGAGAAAAGAAAATAAATAACAAAAAACAATGCGAGGTGGAGCGACAGATCGAAGGTGAAACGGAAGGCAGGCAGGCCGGTGCCAATCAATCCATCAATCAACACAGGAGGGGAGACATGGAGTAAAATACGACGTAACCCATTGGTTGTCTGCGGAGGGAAAGTCAACAAAACAACAACCAAACAGGAACTAATATTACTACCGCTCCCACCTGTTGCAGGCCAGGCCAGCTGCTGCATGGGGTAATTTCAAACTCAGGGACACAACCTAACTTACCAGCCGGCGCATCAGCACGTGCACCCGCTACACTAGCTGCGCTAAGGCTGGAGGGCTGCTGTTGACGTCGGCCGTGTTTTGGCTGAAGATACCGTACCCTCCATTATTGGAGGAGGGGGCGGGGACATGATCTTGCTGAGCGATCAAGGTACATGCCCACCGCGCTGTCGGTACCTGGATCACACATACACGCCCGCGCACCAACCACTGTATCTCCCAGCATGCTGCCTTGTAACTGACCAACCCAGGGGTCCTGCCACCGCGCTACAACATCAGAAGACGGTCCAGCGGGGTCGAGAGGTACAACACTGCCTCGTCGTACAGCAACCAGCAGCCAGGGCTGAGCGGCGCAGACAACAAACAACATCAACAAATATAATCCCAGCTTGGCTGTCGTCAGCTTGGAAGTATGACACTGTTTGCTCTTCTTTCACCTTCCTATCCCTGCGCCTACCAGCTTACCCACTCTTCAGTCTCAGAAACTCCAGTGTCGTAGCACAACTAGGTACTCATTTAGGTCGGCAGAGCACCAGACGCCTAGTCCCAGACATGTAACTAACAAGAAAGTGTGTCATTCAGGCAAACGGGCATCTCCCATTCGGAAATATGCCCTGCGATGCCAATCTACCTTGCCTAGCTCTATAGATAGGCGCGTGCAGCATGAGAAAGCAGGATCTTAATCAACCGCGCCTATCTGCGATACATGCTGGAAGCAACAGCTATGCCATCCCATGCTAACGTAAACTTCAACTGCCTGAACTGAGGCTGCTCCATCACCTCCCCAGTCCTCTGCCAAACTCCTTGCATTTATCTGCCCGTGTGATAAATGATATCCGGCGGCACTCCGTGTTAATTTCTTCTCATTACCTGTCTCAAGCAAATGCCACTATTCCGTTCCAGATCTCCAGATCACCCAAGTGGCTGGTTCACATGTCTAGCCCATACGCCAGACCAAGCAAGTACCGCATCGTGCAGGGGCCCCTCTATTACCTGCCGGCAAAAAGAGCGTCCACTCAATCCTCGATAAACTCAATCATAACTGTTCCCTGCTTAAGTCCAGCCTCCTCAATCGTTGCATCAAGGGTCTCAATCAGATCTTGGCCCTGGGGCATCTTCTTCAACTCAAACTCCACCCCGTCCTTGCCCTCCATTGGCTCCGCCTTGAGCCACTCGTAGATCCGTCGCACAGGGTCCTGCAGCTGAAACCGACGGATAACGCGGCCATTCGGGTGCCGTAGCTGGATGCGCGTTGTCGTCTTCGGGTCGTTCTCTGGTTCCGTGTGTGGGTTGCTGCTCGAAATCTTTGCAAAGGCCGATTCTTCAGCCACTGGCTCTGGCTCCTTGCCCTTGCCCTCCGGAGTATCTGCACCGGCGGTGGGTGATTTGGTGAGAGCGTCTGGATCGTGTAAGTTGGGGGTGGACCCTGATCCACTGCTCCCTTCCGCTCCAGCCAGACTATTCTTCAGTGCCATCTCGAGCATCTCGTCTTCAGTCATGCGCTCCACGTCGATGGGTTGTGGTTTCCGTGCGGTCGCCTTGGCCACTGGGTTCTTGCTGTTCGCGGCAAGACTGTATCTGTCCAGAAACTCGGCAATCTCGGCATGAAACTCCCTAGCACTGGGGAATGGGATCCCGCTCCATACTTTGACCTGCTCGCCTGTTCGTGGATCAATAATTGAGACGTGCGGGTAGTTGTCCCGGTTCTCGTGGCTCTGATTGGGGAAGTAGAAAGTGATGAACTCTTGTGAGTCAGGGTACTCCTTGTCGTACTGCAGAAACACAAAGTTTTCCGCTACCAGGCTCTTGATAGCCTCGTCCTTCCAAATATCACGGTTCAGCGTTTGGCAGTTGAAGTCGCTCATATCCTGTAGGTTGACCATGATCCATTTCTTGTCCTCCTTGCCCAGGTCACGGGCCTCGTCCCACGAAACATCTCGCTCCATCAACTCGTAGGGTGGCCGGAACAGATCTGCCAGGCGCCTTGCGTGACTCCCGGTGCCATCGCCACCGCTATCCTCTGTGTTCACCGCCGGACTTGAGGACTCGCCCCATATCCGCTGCGCGAAAGGCCCACCAGACCGAGCTATCATTTTAATCAGGTCAGCAGTTTTTCCTTTTGTCTCAAATAAAAAAACAAGTATATATGGTAGGGAAGGAGCGGTAAGACTTACGGGGACCACGCCGTCTTTGCCTCTGCTGCCTCAACTGGGATAATATAGCCGACTCCATTCCATCATCTGGCGCCCAGGACAGATCTGGAGCAACGAGGGTTTCTGTAGTTCTCGCGATGGGTGCTCTGACATCCTCGCCTGGCCCAGAGCCAGAGCCAGGGCCAGAGCCAGGGCCACCGTATAGCTCCTCCTGTAGTCGTTTGGCCATGGCGGCGTCTTCTTCTTCCTGGGCCAAGGCAGCCGTTCGGATGGCGGCCTGCCGTCCGTGACCTCGGTCGTCATCATCATCATCGTCAACTAGGTTCATAACATCATCTTCGTCGCTATCAATGTGAATGACGCCGGTCGAGTCTTGTCGCCCAATATTCGGCCGTGTGGATGTAGGGACGGGAGGGGGGTTGCCGGAGACGCCCGACTGGACGTTGGAAACGAGGTCCGGGTTCTCGAAGAAGAGCTCAATGGCCCGCTCGACGTTGTTCCCTGTCAAGGCCAAGAAGCCCTGGGCAACCTCGGGGCTCGCACCCGTGATCCCGGCGAAGGTTGAAATGGCCTCTTCAGCCTCCATGGTTGACCTCGTTTTGAGCAGTCCTTCGAAGGGTGTTTCGTGGGGCAGAAGGCGCACAAAGTCGTATGCGGAAGAAGTCGGGGGTTGTAGATGCAGATGTCGAGAGGGGGCAGCTCGTTCGGAGCAGGGACCGTCCGGTGACAGGTGGTGGTTTTGTGAGGTTGGTGTGAGTAGTCGACCAGCAATCACTTCACCCCGCCAAAGCGAGGCCCGTTCGGTGTAGGTTGGAAACAGCCCCGCCACCGGGGGTTGGGCGCAACGAGATGTAGTAGGGCTGGAGAGAATTTTTCGCCGGTTTATGCAGATTTCAATCACCTCGGATCTAGATCGTGCCAAATCAAACTCGAGCGCATTTTGCGGTGTGTGTTGGGAAAAGGGTACGTGGGCGAGTTGAAAGTCGGGGCAGGAAGGTGCAGCTTCTGGTTGCTTATTTCCTTAGACAGCCAAATCACACACGCTACCGGAAGGCACCGTCGGTGACGTCGCCAGCACACAATCACGTCTGCCCTGACCTCCTGCAAATGCCGATGCTGGCTACCTTCCCGTAAGGGGGGGCTACCGGATTATTGATAATGCGGTGCCACCTTTCAGATGATGCAATCTGGTCCTCTCAGACATGCTACCCTAGAGCTCGCTCCCGGCGCACTCTGGCCCTGAGTCTGATCCTTGGATTTGTACAACATCTAGTAGCTTCTACAAAGTCTAACGTAGGCAGAAACTGGTATTAGTTTCTGGTGGCAAATCTAGATATTATGAGCTTCAACTTGCGTGTGCGCCACGGTGAACCATTTGAGATGAATTGTTAAAAGCTTGGTGTGAGTCCACATTGTCTTATGGACATTCTTCAATAATCGTCAAAACGAACGACCTTGTGGTGCTGCCATAATCACCGTTAGAACACGTACACGTAGAGTCTAAGTACAAATAGAACCGTAATTTCTCTTTATTCATATCTATCTTCTGAAAATAACCAGCCTCAGGAGTTGCTTTATGCCAACGGCCGTCGTGGCCACTCTACCATCATGCTATGCCCACCCTAGATCTGCGCCAGAAGCTTCTGTGCAGCTCTCAATTCCTCCAGCACCTTGAGAGACCTCTCCTCCTTGACTGCCTGGTCAACAGTCTGCTTAACCTCGGCTAGATCTGACCCGCTGGCGCCAAATGCCCCAGACAGCCGGGCAGTGAGTGTTGCCGACAGCGCCTTGGCCCTCTTGATCCTCTGCGGCTCGCTTCCAGCTTCAGGTTGATCGAGGTCCAGTGTCTTGAGATAGTCCAAGTCAGCGGAAGAGGGCGACGCAGCGCTGTCCTTCCCTGCGGCCGGCTTGATGGTACCAACGACTGTCATGATATCATAGACGGCATCGTACCATACATCTCGTTTGATGACGCTCATCTTGGGGCTCTCGAGATACTTGCCAAGGAGCTTCAGAACGCTACCCAGCACCGTGCCCGGCTCCGCGAGTAGCTTCTGTCGGTTGTAGCCACGTGAAATCGCCTCAAACCCGTTCCTCGCAGCCTTAGATAGATTGTCCTCCTTCCCGTCGACCTCCATCTTGTTCTCGTCAATAAACTCATCCAGGTAGGGCGTAACAATATCGGCAATCTCCTG